CCTTACCCCGGATGGCACAGATGCAGTTCCGACCAAAAGGCAGTATTTCTTGTCTCAGGAAGTCATTTGCCTCACTGGCAACCCTCCCTCCTGTCCCCAATCGAAAGGGGAAAAAGCTATTTTCCACTAAGCGAACTATAGAATGGCAGTGAAACCCCAGATTCCCCCATAGCCTTTGGGGACGTTAAAGGCCATTTTCTAACATCAGTCTGCACCTACTAGAAGAAGTGATGCCAGCCACGTAGATTCATAGGGTTCTTAAAATGGTAATTTGGAGTAAAATGTAACTCAAAGAACTTTGAATCATTCATTAGCACCTTATAATTACTCTGCTAATTAGGTTGACACGGCACTTAATCAGGAGTAATACGCCGTCTTGTCACTGGCACTTCCCATTACTCTGACATTCAACAAGAGACAGGTTGGAAACGTCCTGGAGAAAATAATGCAAGTGGGGACCCTCCGACGGACGAGGCGCCACAGACACGCTCCGGGTCCCAAAAGGGCGGCCAGCCCACGGAGGGGAGGAACACAGACCACAGACCAACTGGGGCTAGCACCCTCCAGGAAGGGGTGCCCCGTACCCTGCGCCCGCGCCCCCACCGCCCGGCACCTCGGTGAGCCAAGGCTGTTCTTGCCACCGAAGAACACGTCTCCCCTGCTCGGGAGGAAGTGTCTGGACGGGCTTTGCTTCCAGCGCCCACTCCGAATGGAGAGCCACGCCAGTCCTCCCCGAGAATACCCAGTGAACCCGGTGGGCTGGGCACCTGTCCAACCCTTGAGGCGGAGGGCGTTCCCCGGCTGCGGGGAGCCCGGCTGGCGGGAACCCCAGTGCCCCAGCCCTTGCAGGAGTAGGGGCGATCCATTGCCCGCCGAGTTCCTCCCGGAATCCCCTGCCTCTGCGGTTAGAACCTCCTGACTGTGCCGGGCGGGTTGGGGATGCTGCGGGGTGAGTCAGCCTGGCTCCTCCGGGCGGCACCCTTTCCGCCCTCTCGCTTCCCTGCTTCTGACTCGTCCTCACGGAAAGGGGCACCCCGTTACTACCGCGCTGCTTTCTGATGTGCTTGGGCTCCCTGTCCCCGGTGGCCCTCTGCTCGGCCCGCGCTCCCTGTGCCCTCACGTGTGATTGACACCAGGACCGCGGGAGCACTAGGTGTGGGGCTCGGGGCTGCGGGCACCGGGACGTGCGGGTTCTCAAAAG